ATTGTAATCGATGTCCAATAGCGGATCACTATTATGGGGCCATTCATGTCGTTGTTTCAACCACTGGCTATTATAATTTTAAGAGCATGAGCGGCATGCAAGTAGCCGGCGCTTCTTCAATCATTATTTTCAATGCGTCTGATCCTTGGTTGCATCTTCTCACTAGATATGATCCAACCCACATCTATGATCGACTTGAATTTTTGGTTTTCCTTGAGTTCAACTGTCAATATATTCTAGTTGTATCAAGTTACAGTGCACTAACAACGGGTACATTCCAAGTCGATGTAACTGGTCCTAGTTATGTTACTATGTTGGTCATGAGCTCTTCATCTACAACAACTAGTAGTAAATAGAACAAGTGTTGAACAGAGATAACTCAATAAAATAATTAGAGAGTACAACATATGTAAAGTTCATCAACTCGATAAATATTGTCAGTTTTTAGTATTGCTCGTAGCATGTGATAAAATTCTAAGAAATATTGATTGATATCGCAGTACTCTTGACAACCGATATCCATAAATCTGATATTACTGTGTATGGCCACCTGATTGTCTGGAGTATTATATGTTGTTCAAGACATAAGGATGCTTTAGAACTCATATGAAAGATCAGAAAATGCAATTCATTGCTCGACATATAATTTCTTTGTGAAATGCTGATCTGAAAGAAATATCTCGGGAGAAGAGTAGAGTTCAAACTATGGAGCAGATATGTTGAGAAAATATTTGCATAGTATCGAGACATTATTGTAGCTTCAGATCATATCTTTTCAGGACGATTTTTCACTTTGATCAAGTAGAGAATTTCTCAAGATTATTTCTGTGATTGATAATGCGTAACGTAAAAAAGTTTTGCAAAAAGGTCACTCCGATTTTCAATGAAGATAATATGTTGTAGAAAAATTCAAAGAAACTTATTCTAAATTGTTGACGAAAGCACTTTCTAAATGTGTAAGCCAGTGATTCTTATCATGTTTTGCTTTTGAGAATCAAATGCATCTTTGAAAAACATCATAGAGCTCAGTGTAAAGGGACCAATAGATCTTAACAGTTACGGTAAAGTCATCGATATGTGACTATCTTGTGATTTTGTCCTGTTTGTCTCACCGGATATTGTGAATCCTATCTCTCTTAAAATCTCTGCTTCACTTTCGATTAATCATGTCATGTTCCGATAGATGTTTGTTTAGTTATGTTGTATGTTTCTTCGACCATATCGTTATTCACATTTGATTCTCGTGTGCATTGGATTCATGACAGCTCTGATATATATACTTTGACAGCAGTACTGGACCGAAACGTATTCGAATATAGTGAAATTCTATACATGATGTCTCGCGTAAGTATCAGAAAAAAAAGAAATGACTTTACATTATCGTCTTTTCGTTTTTTCTACGTTTTCGTGCGCATTCGACTACCCTGAATATAAGCTCTCTTTCTTTCTTAATATAGTTGTCTTCATGATCATGAAATATTATATAATCGTCTATAAATGCGTTTATGATATATTAAACATAGGCTTTCATCTTATTTTGTGAGCTAATCACTTCTATTACATAAATTTACGTTACATGGAATGACAAAAATGAGTGTCTATTTGTGATTGAATCCATTTTTTATTTCAAATAATCTCTACTCTCATTTAATAATTAAAAATTCATCCAAACATATGAAAATTTCGATAGTATTCTTTAGTTAAAGAAGAGTTGACCTATAAAACTATTTTTTAAACAATAGATAGAGTGTGAGTGTGGAGTTATTAAAGACAATAGTTACACCCACATCTACCACAAACTCCCGAAAGACTGTTCGTCGATAGGTTGGGTGCCCTCTATGTGGCAGACTCGGGCAATCATCGAGTGATGCGTTGACTTAAAGAAGCAGAACAGGGCACTGTCGTTGTGGGTGGAAATGACGCAGGAAAGAGAAGCCAGTCAGTTGAACTGGTTCATGGGTTTATTCTTCGATCAATATAGGAATCTTCGTGTCGTCGATTGTGACAATCATCGAGTAGAACGATTTTCTATCGAAAAGAGAAAGAATGAAATTTATTCCTTTTGTATTCGCACACATGCACACGCTGCTAGGAACAACCCAAGCATCGCTGTTTGAGCATGAAGGCCATACCTGATGAGGCAGACACATACGCATAACACATATTAGTCCAAAGTGCTTGGGCATATACTACGGATATTAATATAGCTCACTGGCGAAGTTTTTTAAGATCTACTTGTAAGGTCTTGATATAGAAAGAATTTCACGAGGAGTTTCAATTGGAGGGACTCGCTCACCCATCTCTAATGATGATCTCTTTCCAGATTTCTTTACCGCCCTTGTTCAGACCATTCCTATCACTTACTCGGCTAATTAACTAACTAGTTTTACCCAATGCCCTCTGTACATGCACTCTCAAAATGCCTAACAAGAATAAAACAGTGTTGAAACATAAATAAAATTTGTCTCAAATATATCTGATAAGTAAAAGACTCACCAAAATAAAAGAAAATAATAATTAAAATAAAAAATATAGTAAAATATATTTTTTGAATGGATGGGTGAAAGTTGAAACATACGTAAGACAGTTTTGATCGCAACTCTAAAATTCATTTCAGATATATAATTTTATTCAATCGATGTTTCGAGCTTTCATACTCATTTTCAAAACAAAACGATACAATGAAATAACATAAGATATAATACTGGAAGTATACAAGCACACATTAGACGAAACTAGAATAAAAAGAGTATTAAGGTAGACGGAGATCAAGCTCTCAAACACTGATATACACGCGCGCGGTAGTCCGACTTTTTATAGTCGTTCATTTTAGTCATTAGATTACGATCAATATCGTAGAGATTTACTGTAGATACGTCAACGACACTAATTTTTATCATTCATCATTTCAATGACTAAGTTTTCTCTATAAACTTATTGTATAGCCACATTTGCCGATGCTGGAAGTAGAGCCAATGTGGGGATTAGCTGTCTGACTCTTGCTCATTCAAGTTTTTGAAGTGACAGGTTATAAATGGTCCGACATACTCAAGTTTGGGAGAGTCGCGTAACTTTACCTCAAAGAAGAATTCTTTTTCTCTTTTTGAGATCGAGAAGAATATTAAATATCGTTGGAAAATACAAGTTTTTCCATCGTTGGAAGCGTGTTATACGTTGGGCACTCTACAATAGGTCTACCTGTGCAGGAAGTTCGGCCACTCAGAAGTTTTTGCTGTACAGCTCTAGTGTATTCAACTATTTCAAAATGGAATCATATTTCTTGCTACTATTCAAATACAATCAAGCATCTGTTCGATTGTATACAAGCTTTTTACAATAGTGAAACAACAAGCCAGGAGTATGGCGTCTCATACGTAGAAGTACCGATGACCAACTCCGAAATGACTTAGTACAATAGTTGAGAAGATGATCTTTTGGTACAAGGATATGAGAAAGCTGGTAGCCTTTACTTGACATAATATGATCGATATCTAGAGTTTCGAAATGTAAGATGAACGCTGAATGCGAGTTTTAGTGTGAAAGTGCAAAACTTTGTCGAAATGGAGATCATAAAAAATTGTTATCAAATACCGACGAATTCTATTTGTACTGAACGATTTAGATGGCGGACCTAATTGTTTTAAACTTGGTAATTTGTTTTGTTATTAACTATTGAAAGAATCGATACTCAAAATAAAAATTGTAAAGGTCATTTTTCACAGCTTTTTCCGATGCGTCAACGACTGACTGTGAGTTGTCACCTACTCTTCACTTCAACCAATCTTTTTATAACAATGACATCAATGACAACTTTATACAGTTTTTGGTATACATTTCTTTGATCTGCAATAGTTCTCAAAGCAGAATTCGATAAACAGTGATATCTGATGAATAAATGAAATACAAATTCTACGTAGGCTTTATATACCTAAAATTATAATTGAAATTTACAGTGTGTCCCAAAAGTCCCTTCCTAAAAGTTTTTTTTTGAATATCTTTGCTATTTTATTTAACTTTGTTAACATTTTTTTGTATTTAAATGATAGGTGAAGACACAGAGACTTTTTTGACCCTAATGTGTTTGAAAAATATTGCTCAAAGGTACCATCTTTCATCCAAATAAAAAACATTAATCTTTTTTTTTCATTTTCAGAAAAACACCAGGCAGCATTTTTTCTTTAATTATTTCGACTTTCTAAATTACTCTAATTTTTAAATCATACAAATATTTAATGGCCCTTTTACAGATATTCGTTTAGCTGTTAGTTAATAAGTACAGCTACCATGTTCTGTCTCAAATAATCCTTGTGTCGCTATAGAATTTGCAATAGACTTACTAAACTTACAGTGTGATCCAGGTGTGTAATGTCAAGCAAGCTAATCGTTGCGCTCTTGTTTTTTTTTTGATGAAGCAACGATTGATCAACAAAAGTATACCTTGACACGCTTCAAAGCTTGTATAGGCTGATGTGAGAGGAAAAAAGATTACAAAAAAGCTATTTTACCAATAATATAGAGCACTAGGGTATTTCTTGAAGACTTTCTGCTCACATTTCATTTAGTAGACTTCTATAAATTTTGCTTCAAAAAAATGGTTTTAAAAGTTTTCAATACACACATTCTTGTAGAGCTCGATGAGCTCTATCTAACCATATGAAAATATCAAAGAAAACAAATTTAGTCGATTTTTGAATTACTCGCATCTTACGAAGAAAGCTAATTTTTTATATTTGGATGAAAGGTGGTATCTTTGAGAAATATTTTTCAAACTCATTCAGGTCAAAAATATCTCGGTGTCTCCACCTATCATTTAAATAAAAAAAAGTTAATTAAGCTAAATAAAATAGCAAAAACATTCAAAAAAACACTTTGAGGAAAGGACTTTTGGAACACACTGTATAATCTAGAACGAAAATTTCAATCGCAACCAACAGTGCTAGTCATTAAAATGCCGTAAGAGTATCTTCCAAAAATGCAGTCTTTTCTTTATTGGTGAATATTCAACATTTGTTCAGAAATACGTTCACACCGCTCTGCATATGAGCAAGTGCGATATCGAGTCGACCATCGCCGTTGAAATCATTGAGAACTACCGCTGTCGAACCGTAAGTTGTGTCGAAAAACAATGATTCGACGAGAGTTCCAGTACCATCACCAAAGAGTATACGAAAAGTATCTGATTCGGTTCCAGAAATAAAGACGTCAGGGTTACTGTCGCCATCAAAATCGCCTATAGCAACTGTATTTACACAGTCCCCTATCATGTAGTGATGTGCTGGACGAAACGTGCCATTTCCATTACCCATAAGCACACTGATCGAGCCATTTCCACAATTCCCGGAGATCAAATCCATATGTTGATCATTGTTCAGATCATCCACAGCTAGTGCTGATGGTTCGGCCTTGGTTGGATAAGAATTGCGAGTTCGAAAACTTCCGTTTCCAAAACCTAGATGTACACTCACAGTATTGCCGAAATAATTGGTGACAGCAAAGTCGAAATAATTGTCATGATTGAAATCAGCTGAAACTACTGTATATGGACCAATACCTGTGGCAAAGATAGTCTGTGGTGCAAAGGTACCGTCACCATAACCGAGAAGTACACTGACAGTATTCGCGCCAAAGTTTGAGACCAATAAATCGAGCCTCTGATCATTATTCAAATCTTTGACAAAAATTGAACTTGGATAGCTGACAACTGGAAAAACCATTGTCGACTGAAAAGTGCCGTCACCTTGACCGAGTAAAATGCTCACACTAGCATTCCATGTAGATACGACAGCTATATCTGCCCGGCTATCACCATTGAAGTCACCGACGGCTGTTGCAAATGCATCAGTTACAGTTTCTGTAACAATTGGCATACTGAAGCCACCGTTGCCGTAGCCAAGAAAAACGTAGACTTTCTTGTCAAGATAATTTGGAACGATTAAATCCGTGTGATTATCTCCGTCGAAATCTCCGAGAGCAATAGACATGACATTATACACATTTTCATACGAAAAGTATGGGTCGAACGTTACGTTGCGACAAACATCACCTAAATGTCAAAAAGGACGATTTGTTAAGAACTTTTGAATGAAACACCAGAGGTGTCGATCATGTTTTGTTTTATGTAAGGTTGCTCCTCATTAAACTTCTTTCCCTAATTTCAATCATCGATCAACAACTAGACTGATGGTACAAAGCTCATCATGAAATTAACAAGTATAATTTAATTTCTTTTTCTCAGTACTGGTATCTATGAGTACAAGAATCGCTTTTTTCTCGAATAGTTTCTGTTGAATCAAACAAGCAAATCAAATGTTCTCGATACTAGCAAATATGGATTCGAGTCGTTATATGCTTTTTATGCTTGATTGAAATGATAGTACACCACGAATGACATCATGACTCGTTCAATTATAACAATATATGTTTAGTTCTGGTAAAATAAATTGCTTGATTAGAGCAAAAGAACTAAGTCGAAAGTAAATGCTATCTTCTATCGAATTCTGAATTTTGGAAACTCTTACTCTCAAAGTAACCAAGGGAACATAATTTCTCTCTGTACCTTTAGCACCTGTTGAAACAAATAAAGATACTCACTTTTGTTAGTAGCATTTGGTGGTGTGCTGATCGTCGTTGTTGAAGCAATAGCAGCACTGTTACTACTAAAAAATCCTCTTGTTGTACTAGTAGTGATATTGCTGATACTTGAGTCGGTAGTTGCATTACCTGAAACGTTTCATGTCAATCTTAGCATAATGAGACATCTCACGAAGATCGAATATCTTCTCAAAACCAATGTCTTCTACTTACTAGTGTTCTGTGTGGTACTAATGATTGCCGTTGATGTGATCGATCCCAATCCGGATGTTGTTGTTCCTAACATATAGAACATATAAAGAGAAGTGAGCTCTCCGCTGCCCATTATACATGTTTTCGAATTGTTAATTATTCCACTAGCTACTCGAAAATAGATTCTTTTGTAAAATTATACCAAAGTAAATGAATTTAGCATCGACATAAGTGATCTTTGACTTTTGCCAAATGATTCGAGATTTAAACATGAAATTATATATCAGTCAGTATTTAATTGCAGCATACTTCTATTCAAACTGTAAATCAACACAGATGGAGTATGTGATATTGAAACTGTATCGAACAGTCTCTAGTACCACATATCATGATATAGTCGGGCTTGTGTTCGTGTTTGAAAAAGACGCTTATTTAATACAGTCCTTCCACTACTTATTTCTATGGGTTTGTTAGTCATTACTTGAAATCTTACTGTTGGATAATGCCGACAGTACGAATGCTTGAAGACTACAATGGTTACTGTAAATTATTTTATTTTGGATGCCTCTATTACAGAATAAATATCTTAACAAAAGAAAGACTTTAGAAGCTAAACTCATTAGAAGCTATAAACAGACGAAATTTCATTAAAATCTATTATATGCATTAAGTGTAGTTGATTGTCTCTATCACACAACGATCCCTAGGATTGCAAGCATTCACGAGCTTCCAGTCTCCTAGGAACTCGAAATCTAATGCGGGCCTCCATTATTTATAAACAGGCATTGCATACTGCATTGTCACAAAAGATGGAGCGAAAATCGAAGAAATCGAAATCTTGACGTCCTAAGATTCAAGCTTCTTCATCGTATAACGGTGTAGATGTTATCATATCTCAACAATGAGCAAAGTACGCCATGTTTTAGAAGTTGTCTGTTTAACTTAAATACCTGATAAAACTATTGTCGCATTTGAGACCGGTCGTTTATCTCGAGTCAAAATTATCGGTACAGTGATTGCAGCAACGATGACACCTGCAATAGTGATTAAACCCAAAATGATCAGTAACTGGGCTTTAGTTATGCCGCCTCTACACATAAGAAAAATATAGGACTTGAAAGAAATGTATTAACGTGAAAACCTACGTAATACAAGTTGATGTTATTTTCATTGATGACTGCTTGGTGTTTACAATGATCAAACGTTTCCCGCAGAGAGAAATTGTATTAATGCCAAATGAGTTTATTTCATTTATTTTTTAAAGAGTGGCCTTTCAATGAAAAGTGACAGATGTTAGTCGATGCATAAAAAATAATAAGTTGTATTTTATATGACTTCATGGAGTAATTATTAATTTGTGAGAAACGCTATTCCTGATAGTTCTTTCGAAGAGTTTTCACAAACAGTGACGTTTGGCATTCGAGTAACACCACTTTTAATTTGTATTACTCTATTGGCATATCAAATGATTATTAATAAGTTTCTCTCAATTATGAAAAATGAAATGCGAAGAAAGAAAACAGAGACTACAAAGTTGGAACTAGCTAACATTACAAGAATGTGTATCGGTTATTGCACTACCGTCATTGACATCTGATTGACTCACATTTTCAAAGCTTTGATGAACAATTAATCTCATCTATGTATGATTCCTTGAAGTTTAAACCAAAAGCCTTATCTAACTTAAAAAAAACGTGCTATTACTGATCAATGTACAGATTCTTTTTTTTTTTAATATGTGATCATCAACGCATCCGTAATTGCCAAGGGAGTTAAAGTTTCAAACACAATTGATACTATGAAAAGATATTCATCAGAATATTCTGAAAGCAAGTACACTTAGCAACAACTGATATAAGATGACTTCTCTCTTTAACCATCTTTATATGTTTGAAAGAAAACTAGAATATGCCTAGCGTCAAAATAAATGCAACACATCGCAGCAGTTGATGAAGAGAAACGTTAAGCAGCTGTTTGATGCTTTGAAGCTTTTATCAAATTACACTGGTAGCTCTCTTGTAGTAAAACAACAATTGTTTCCCAGCTCCAATGTTCATCTAATCAGTGCAACTCTGAAAAGGGATGTAACTGAATGAAATTTCAAAAAGAAATTTTTTTCACATAATACTTCAAATAAATGAATGTTATTTTCGGAAGAGAAATATCTTGACTTTTTCATCATGATTGTTTTCAAAAGGGTTAGCTCATCTCTCAGATCATTGAAAATATTGCAATCTTGCTTTCATAAACGCTCAATATGATTGAGATGTTTACGGATATGAATTTTCCATGGCATTATTTAAACGAGGAATTTCTATTGTTTTTCATGTTTGAATTACTCTTTTACAAGTCCATATTGGACTTAGTAGAATATAATTTTAAGCGTGTTCAACTCGAATATTCTTTTCGATCGAGTGTATTGGTTACGATATTTTAGCCAGGATTTGTATCATTCAACCTAATATCAGTCATTATTAAGTGAAGTATAAAAACTGAACATCAACTATAATAGTATTGCACAATCGATCAAGAACAATACTAAAATCAAAAATGATTGATTTGTATTCAATTGTGTCAACTTTTCCTAGACTACCCACCGAAATTTCCAGAGGTCCCCATATCATTCTTTGTAACGGTCATTGACCGTTATGCTTCACTGATTCTATGTTATATCGTCTATGTATTGTGACCTCTTCACCTAGTACTGACTTTCTGTCTCTATCCATATTCTCTCATGTGTGTCCGCTTGACCTCTGTCTGTATCTATATAATGCGCGTGTAAGACAAGAGAAGATACACTTGGAGTAGTGATCTAGCCAAATACATGTCGTGCCAAATGGTACAGACAGGCATTCGTCTCCATTTGTCGTTACATTCTTCTCGTCTCTTTTCAATATTTTACAGTCATGTGTTTCGTCAAAATGCAACTTTAAAAAGCTTTTCTCTAATTCAACCATTGTGAAGATGACGTCATCATAGTATTGACTATTGTTGACTTCATCTGGTTGATGAACCGATTCAATAATATTTGTTGTTGCTTCAGCAGCTCATTGCCGAAAGATAAAAGGAAAAAGAACATATTCTTCTCGAATATCATCTGGTTCCTGTAAGAAAAGGTTTCCGTTAAATTCACACAGGATGGATGTGAGTTTGAATGAAGGTGAGTAAAGAGAAAACCCACACCCACACCAACACCCTGATTCTAGCCATCCGAATAGAAGGAGAAGGTTAGCTTTACATTGTCAAATGACAGGTAATAAACAAATTCATCGTTTTGATTTTTTCGTTTCGAATATAGCTTTAGTAAGAGAAAATCATGATTCTCTATAAAGCTTGGTTCAAACTTTTCTCTACCCAAAAATTCAAATCTGTAATAAATTTTTGGAAGTCTTACAGTTCGATTTTTTGTCAAGAAAAGAGTATTTTTCGAAAATATCTTTTTTTAAAATAAAGTTCAAACGACCACTTGCAGGCTCGAAGACTCTAAGGCTGTAATTGGTGTCTTGAAATAGTACTAAATCAATTAGAGATTCAGATACCTCTATCCGGCAAGCTATAAGTCAAACTTTACAATAAATTGCTTTTTTCAGAAACAATAACTCTTCTCCTGACGAAAAAACTGAAACGAATTGGTCTTTGCTTGACGTCTATCACTTAATTCCAAACGGATTCAGTGTTAAGTAGTACAGATCAACTCAACTTCACGTTAATTTAAGTAGGTCACTCCTACAAGTCTCATGCAGTTTCTATGTTTTGTTGAATGCTCATATAATCTTGAAATCTGTGAAAGTCTTTTGAAGTGTCTTGAAAAATTGAAGTCTGTTGTTGAAATCTTGAACTCCAATATTTCTCCGTTGAGTGGGCATCTGTGAATCGTGTAGAAACTCTCTAATTAGCTTGTCAGTGGTTTATTTCTGCATTCAAAAAGTTACATTATAACGAATTAGGCTATTTTACCGTTTTTAATACACTTTGGATATATATTCTTCTGATGATATCAAATGATAACAAAAAAAATTGAATTGTTTCTCCGACTAGCTTCCATGAAATCTGAATATCAATGAAATGATATTATAGATGTCACTACTAATCTTTTTTTTTTGTTCCATTTTATTCTCTAATCAAATTCCATAAAAATATCCTTTCTTATTATTAAGATGATAAACTATGTCTGAAATTTATAATATTTTTTTTTGTATTTTTTTAATTAAGAAGTAATATTATTTTTTTTGATTTTTTCAACCAATCATTAGAAAAATATTCAACAGAAGAGTAAATCTTTCCCATTTCTTCTTCATGGCTACTTATTTTTTGCTGTTTCTGTCATTGCATCTTATTTAACATTTTCTTTTTTTTTTTTTTTTATTATTATTTTTCGAGTGTGTATGTGTATGTTTCTTTATTAAATTATTTTATTCATCGATTATTATGGATGATAATAGTCGTACATTATTTATTGGTGCTTCAATATTAAATATATCAAATAAGAATACAAATGATGATTTAAATAATACAATGTTATCTGTATTATCAACGACAGAAGAAATTGAAGCTGATATATTAAATGATGAAACATTTGGTGATTGTAATTTAGATACAATTAAAATGAAATCAGATTTTGATGAAAATGGTGAATTTCTTGGTGATAATTCATCAGAAAGATTACCTGATTTTTTTGATTCAAATATTCTTGATAAAGGTGGTGGAATTTTACTTATGGATAATAATGATCAATCACAACAACCATCTATTGATGCTTTACTTGGTGAAGATCCAATGTATATAACAACAACATCTATGAATCTTCGACAATCAACAATGAATCCATTATTTAATATGGCTATATCACAAGCAAATAATACTAATCATGAAAATATTTTTTCTCAACAACAAACATCACGTTTATCATCAATAACATTACCATCATCATCATCACAGCAACAACAACAACAAATAAATTATCCATTATTAAAACAATTTGAACAATTATTAATTAATCAACAAATACCACCACAAGAACGAATACTTTATCTACAAGCTATGATTGAAAAAATGCAACGTAATATAGTAAATATTCAACAACAAACAACACAAGTAATATTAATTGATTATTATTTTAGAAATAAATATTATTATCTTTTATTTATTTATTTAGATTACAAATATGAATATCAATGGTCATAATCGATCTAATGAAATAAATTCAAATCAAATTCTTAATAACAATTTATTATATAATCAACAATCACATCAAAATACACATACAATGGCCATAGGTGAAATGATGGAACAAGCTCGTTCAACAGCGATGAATATAAATAATACACATTCAAAATCATCAACAATTATTAATAATGGTATGTCATCTCAATTTATGGATGCTATACAACGATCTGATCAAATTCCTATTGTTGATAATCATTCATCATCATCACCACTTGATACAATTGTTAGTCCATCATCATATCATCATAATCATTCACGACAAAATCGACCAGCTAAACATTATCCACGACCACCACTTCTTAATACATGGCAAGGACGTGGTTCTGGTCATGATGAATTTGCTGGTATGATGAGTGATCGTGAAAAACAATGGGTTGTAAAAATTCAACTTCATCAAGTATCACAAACACCAGATGAAGTAAAAAAAAAAGAAAATATTTTATTACAAACGAAAAAAAAGAAAATCGATATTTTCTAGGATTATTATTTTCATAAATGGTCACAACAAAAACATCATATACAACAAACACATGCTAATCAAACAAATCGTCATATACATCGTGGACAAAAAATTAGTTATCCAGTACTACAATTATTAAAATCAATTCAACAAGAAAATGAGTATGTCATTCGATTGAGGAGAATAACTAAAAAAAAATAAAATCATGTATATACCACGTCTTAAAGAGTTTCAGAATAGAGCTAAATTTGTCATAGACTTTCTTTTTTATGGAATATTTAGGCTGCAAAGGTTTAAAATCATTCTATGTTCGCAACCGAAATACAATCGATAGAGGTAGAATTTTATTAAAAAAAAACAAGGTACTTACAATGGAGCTGTTTGTACTGTCCGTCGAAAAAGTGGCACATATTCGGGTCAACTGAAAGCTCTCACCGCCAAACTAACCAGGCTAAAATATTAGCTGCTATTGGCTTGTCTAGAGGGAGATATTTAACTTTTCAAATTAGGGATAATAATAAATGAGGAAAGGCTTTCTCTACTATTATAAGGATAAAACATAGTGTTGTTCGGGCCACATGAAAGAGGGACCCTATAATCGGCCCGAACAACACTATGTTTTGTCCTTATAATAGTAGAGAAAGCCTTTCCTCATTCATTATTGTACCTAAATTTAAAAGTTAAACATCTCCCTCTAAGCAAGCCAATAGCAGCTAATATTTTAACCTTGTTAGTTTGGCGGTGAGAGCTTTCATTACACCCGAATATGTGCCACTTTTTCGACGGACAGTACAAACACCTCCATTGTCAGTACCATTTGAATCAAAATACTGACCGTATCTCCGAAAATCAATGGTGCTATTTTTTTCAAAACAATAACAAAGAAAAGAGATTAAACATTCCACATAGTGTTCAATGATGTTAGATGTTCATGATTCATACTTTCAGCACTTTTGAAAAATTATCATTAGGAGAATTTTACAAAATAAAGAATAATTCCTGCGCAAGATTTTTGCTAAGGATTTCGAAAATTGGGTCTAATAAAAAAGCATCCTCATTGATATGACATTTGATAGAGAACACTTCGAAGATTTATTAGCGATGACAAATAAAAAACTTAGATTTTTTCACATCTTGAAACGGTAGAATTCTCTTAAGATCTCCTGAACTTTCAAAAATGAATCTTGGTGTAATTACATTTAACTCCCACAAAATTTTCAGTTCTATGCAATTGTGTTTCCGGAAAATATTCTAATATCTCAACTTCGATGTATTTATCTTAATTTTGTGAATATAATTCTATGAATATCCTTTTTTTTTTATATAGACTTGTTCAACATTTATCTCCAACATCTACACAAGCAACATTTTCTAATGTAAATCCTACACAAACATTACCATATGCATCACCAATATCAACACAACTTGGTAAACAATCAATAGCAACACCTCGACATCCAAGATGTATTCTTCATCTTGATGGTATTGATTTCTTTTGTATTCAAATTCATTTTTATAATATCAACTTTAATTTAGGTCAATTTTCATTAGGTAGACGAGCAAATGCTATAACACATGATAAATATACATTAGGTCTATTATTAAATATTGAAAATTTATATCGTGATATATTACGATTAGATAATGATAATAATAAATTATCAATATTAAATCCTACAGAATTAGAATCAACTAATGAAACTTCTCAAATATTAACAACAACTACTAATCAATCAAAACAATTATTTAATTCAATTATTAATCATTATTTAAATGATAAAAATTATTTATTTGCTGATATGTTTGGTCAATTTAATAAAGGTCAAATTATACTTCAACGTTTATATCCATATTTAAAAACAACAAATTATCTTGAATTATTATTTATTCATTTTTATAGTTCATTAAGTTATATGATACGTCGATGGTCAACATCATTTCATATTGAACATAACATTATGAATATAATTAATCTTATACAACAACAAATTTATATTAATAAAATATCATATGAACAATTATTAGCTAAAGTTTATATTTATTATAATGAACAAATGAAAGAAAAACTTATTGAATTTTATTCTGGTATATATTTTTGTTTTGTATATCTATTGAAAGAATTTCATCAGATGATAAAAAGAAACTTACATCATTAGGATAGAATTAATTGTAATTCGGAAATTGAAAATTTTTGAGAAATATTCTAATTTTTGCGAAAATTTTCTTATTTTTGCTATTCATATAAGAAAACAAAATCTTTCTTTGCTTGTTTTAATGTACTAACAAAGAAGAAGTCTTCTTAAGTACTTTCTTCTGATTACAATGATTTTTCTATCAATAGATACTACACAATAGTCTCGTAATTCAAGACTTTGAAAGATTATTTTCATACTCTCGAATACAAAGTTTCTGATTTTACATTCGAAAACAGTATAAAATGCATTCGTTTAGAATACTTTCACACAAGTTATTAATCAATAAAACTATCGTATCATCTGTTAAAACAATACGATCATTGAAGTTAGTCATGTTCAAAATTTTCGAATTCATTACTAAGACTAATCCTATAGATTCTAATAAGGCTTAAAAAGATAAAAGTTAACATAATATATTTTCTTTGTTATTTAGATGCATTGTCAAGTCCATTTTCAGATCCAATATTATTTACAAATTCATATAGTGTAACTATTTTAATTGAACTTTTATTAATATTAGAACGTCAATGTTATTTATCATCAACATTACAAATTATACAACAATTACAACCACAATTACAATATCAATTGAGTGAATATATACGTTTATTTGTTATTGATATTTGTCAAGCACTTATGACTTGTTCATCACCAGTATATACATTGAAAAAAATTCTTAAACCATTTGCACAAATAAAACATCAACAATTTATTTTACTATGTAAATTTCTTCGTATGCAAATATCACAAAATATTTATGAAGCATTAGAACCAAAACTTATCTATTGTTGCATTAAAGATCAATAAAATAAATTTATGTGAATATGTGAGAGAGAGAGAGAGCGGCGAAAAAGAAAATATGTTTGTACATATTTCTTTCTTTTTTGTTCGTTTGAACGTGTATGTTGTATCTTTTTCATGAAATCGAACAATTTAAACAATAGAACAAAATTTTCTTAAATAAAAAGTGAATGAGAATGTATAATGTGAGAGAGAGAGAGATAGTGTGTGTGTGTTTTTTTTATTATTATCTTTAACTTATTAATATGATTATTACTATTTTTCTGTAGTGTGTAAAACACCCGCTCAAAAGAGTGACGATGATGTAAGAAAAACACCGATATTTAAAGTGATGATTACAAAATAAAAAAGAGTAGATGATCATAATTTTTTTAAATTGATTTCTTATTTAATAAAAAGAAAGTAAACAAATATATTGAAGAAATTATTATTATTTTTTACTAATCCCCCCCTTCCCCAGAATAAATAGGGCATGCTCTTATACAGGGTCTTGGCACATCGCTACTTTTTGGATGGCCTTCTATTGGGGGTCAATTTTTGGCCAGTTTTTAGTTAAAATCATTTAAAAAATTAATAACTTTATTTATTGTTTTTTAGGTGTTTTTTTCTGAAAAAACTACCATTTTTTGTAAAAAGTGTACTATTTATGGTAGAAAAGGAAGGATTTCGCACAAAAACATTAGAAAATCGGTTATATTTCCTTAATTATTAGTTAATATTTATGAAAATTTCGATAATTTTAGAATATATTAATTAATTAGTACATGGCCTTCTAATAGGGCATTTGAACTTTTGCTCCGACATGGCCTTATACAGGGAGTGGCCTTCTATTTTGGGGGGGGGGAATATTAACTTGTGAAGATTTCATAGAATCACTTAACTCGTTTAGATTTTATATAATTGAACTTTTAAAAAATGAGATATTACTAAGTCCAAAATGTCACTAGTAGACTTTTGTGTGACCACGATTTTTCAGTCACGTCACGTCACTGTCACTTTCATAGTCATGGAGCTTTTTCGAGACTAGTCACGGAAATTTTGGATTACTAGCTGGATTTTTGTGCTACAAAATCAAGATTTATATTGATTTTGCAGATTTCCTCTGTTATAAAACGCAGAAAACACGTAAATCAATTCAAATCTTGATTTATTTTCACAAAAATCAGATTTTAATCTCAAAATTTTTCACCATTAAGTCACGGTTACGAGAGATCGTGACCATTTTGCAGAAGTCTAGTCACTACAGATAACATATCATGTTCTAATTTCAATCAGTATTTTTTCTATATTCAAATCAAAACAATTTAAGAAGTGTTGCAAATACTATGTTAAATATAAAGCGAAATGCATTTCAGAATTAGAAAATATCCAAAATAGAAGGTTCAATATTGAATAGAACTGTTGTTTAATATTTTATTTAAAAAAATTATCTAAAATTAAGACTATCGTTTCATTAAAGAAAAATCTTTCATCAACTATATAAAAAATTGTTCGTTCTATATCATTGAAAAGCAATTCAAAATTCACAACTGTTTCATCATCATCGAAGATCATCATTACATATTATTTTTTCAAAATTTTGAAATGAAGAGTTTTCGATATCAATTTCAATGATTCATATGTGTTAAAACAAAGTCGCCAATAGGAAAAAAATATAGTCATATTGTATAAAGTTTAATGATCATAATTTTCTTTTTTGATGATTCCTAAGAAAATATTTTCACTATCAAGCTAATATGATAAACAAAAGAAGCGTTTATCGAAATAGAAATTTCATTGTTCTATGAGATTTAATTGTCAAATGTTTCTATAACTTCAAATAGAATCTTCTGATAAGCACTAGATTTTATACGGTAAATGTACTGGTTTCTGAAATTTCGATTTACTAAGTCTGAATGAACGTATATGTCTGCCGATGGATATTTTTATAAAAATAGAATGAATTATACTTCATTTTTTTTTTCTTCACCAATGGAAAAGTGCATTGAGTTCAGATATATATAATTGAACCATTCTGCTAACTTTTCTGGAGTTTCATTATAAACTGTAAAACCTGTATTTTTATATTATACACGTTCAACATCAATGAATAAAATACTTATGTATGCTTCAAATATTTCATTTTTCACTTCATTGAATTCATTTGTATATAATCTATTAATGTTTTCATTTGAAAATATGATCAATTTAAGAGTCTAGAGTATACACTCTTCAACAGTAATCATATTCTTTTCTTTGATTTTGCAGTTGAATGAGTTTGAAGTCTTATACTTCTTGTCGCTTATATTCAGCTCAATAAGACTATAGCTAAAAAAATTCCAATAAATTTCAAATACTAACATAAATTCTGTTGACTAGCGACCTCCAATTTGTCAAAAATTTTTTAAAAATCAATTTAAAAATATTTATCCAATAGAACAGTTTTTATTTGCACCATCCAACTGATGATGGTATTGATCGAAAAGTGAAGCATTTTTCTTTCCGTTATATTCATCAAACGTATTTTGTTGTTAACAACACGAAGAAAAATTCGATTTAAATATTAAAAAAGATCTTTTTGATTTAGAGAATATTACTATATGATAGAAAATGAATTTTAACAGTACATAGATGAACGCTATATATTGTCTTATTTTATCTTATTACTTCTTAAGAAATATTTAAACCTTCAATATAAAACATATAGATTGTAAATTTTGACATTTGCAATGAATTATTTTTATAGTATAATGAAAGTTTATTACACTAAAGGTTTACAGCTGACTTGATTTTTTTACAGAATTAATGTCAAAAAAAACAATCTTATCTATATTGTATATGTATTCTTTGAAATTTGTAGATAAGTAATAGTTTATTATCGTGCACACATTAGACATGAATGCTATTCAATCGCTTTATCTGGTAAATTTTCTTTTTTAAATTTATGAAATAAATATCATAATTATCATTTAGAAAATATTACATGAATTTGAACCACAAACAAATTTCCTTAGTGAAAAAACACGTTTATTAAATCAACAATTGATTAATTCATTGTCGCCATTACAGTTAATTGCAATTACGGCTTTTGTTACGACATGTGGTTTAAGTATTTATCAATTTTTATTTTCCCATGATGAAGGTAAATGTAGAAAACAAGATCATTTTGTAAAGAACTATAAAAAACAAACATATTACATAGTTTATACATTTACAACTTTTTATTTAATTCCAAAACGTTCAGCTATCATCATAAAATCTTATTATTCATTCTTCTTTAATGAATGTACGATGAAATTGTAAATTCGTTTTATATCATAACTATAAAAAAAAACTTTTATTATTGCATATTAAATTATTTGTTTGAGTCTTGATACATCCATCTTCAAATATAAGAAAACAGATAACGAAAAAAAAAAATTTTAAATGCATCTTTCATTTAATAATTCAAATCTAAATTTAATAAGTTAAAGACAATGTTCCCTGAAGGGTTAAAAATACAGAGACTACGATCTTAATGTTCACTATCTCCTTTTAGTATATAACTGAATTGATGGGCAGTGAATAGAGACTTATTGAACGAAATCCCCCAACTGATTAAGAGCTCGAATTATGTACGTTCTTTAGATCCTAATAAACTATGAATACCATAAAAAGAGTTCTAATCCTTAACTTATTGCTGCGGAATTAATGGAACTTTTACAGTTGTTTGTAGTCGATACTATGTTTATTCATCAGAAACACTAGGAAAATTCGTTTTCGGATTCCGACTTGAAACTCTAAATAAAGACAGATCTTAACCGAAATAATTTATTGCAAAAGTTTTTGGTCTTTTGATGTGCTTCTTTCCTAAAATAAGAATATCGAATCTATCAGTATATGTGAGCATTACCTTAGAAGAGAAACAATGAAAATATTTGAAACTTTCATAATAAACTATTCTCATTGACTACAGATTATATGAAAAGTTTCAAGTTTGAATCTCGAAAATCAGTTTTCCTAGTATTCTAGCATCAATTAAAAAATACTGTACAAATATAGTATCTCGACAACAGCAAAGCAAACAGTCGAACCCTTTTTAAGAGTCTACATGAAGCAAATAGTCTCGACACAAAAGCAATTAATTAGTTAAGAAACTTCTTTTGTAAGATTTCAATTTGTCAACATTTATTCATGATGGTAATTGAAACGGAATGATTGAATTCATGTTGATTTTAAATAAAATCGAAGACAATTGTAATGATCAAGACTCATTGTTTTTTCTGTTTGAAAGAACGTAATTATTACCTCACATATTGATAAACTATGTTATATAAACAATTGGATATAGAATACGTAATTATATGTCTTTATTTTATCATAGATATTTCTACACGTATTCGAGAAATAATCTTTCGTATGGCTCGTCAATTGCCTGCTGTAAAACGTAAAATTGCTGAAGCACGTGAAGCTACATTGAAAACAGTCTTTAATGATATAGCAAAAAGTGTTGCAGGACATGAATTTACTAAAGTTTTACCTGACCATGGATTATCTCAAGTAAAATTATCAATGAATTAAAATAATAGAAATAATTTTTTTTTGTATTATTTTTTACTTTGATTAGGAAGAACTTATAAAAAAACTTGAACATTATCGAAAATTAGAAAAAATTAATTTTAAATCAGGAAAAATTTCTGGTTGTGTTTATAAATTAGCAAAAACAGATATGACTGAAATTTATAATAAAGTAATTTGTATAATATTAAAATTTATTAAAAAGTCAATGCCTTTTTTTTTTTGATAGGCTTTTACTTTATTTGGTGAATCAAATCCTCTTCATGTTGATGTTTTTCCTGATATTCGTACAATGGAAGCTGAAATTGTTCGATGTGTAGCAACTATGTTTCATGGTGATATAGACGTTTGTGGAACAGTAATTTATTAATATTGTTTTAAAATTCAAAAATCATTAGTTAATTCTTTGTTTTTTTTTTTTCGTTTTAAATTTAGATGACATCTGGTGGTACTGAATCGATATTAATGGCTTGTAAAACTTATCGTGATTTAGCCATATCTAAAGGCATTACTAAACCTGAAATGTAAGTCAATTCATAGTAGGTTATATCATTAAAAAAAAACAGTAGGAGATTAATGTGCGTATTTATATTCCTATTGAGTAATTTCTACTATTGAACATATACATATAATTATTCGTATGTCGTTTTTTCTCACTTGTTGACACATTACGAAAGAGAAAAGAATAGAAACAGTCGGCGGTAAGTTCTTATAATAGACACATCAACGATGATGATTATATTTATGTGTGTACGTTTGCTCTCATCTATTGGACTCAATCATAATTACATATGTATTTAACGTTCAGATCTGTCTATTTAAAGAAAAAAATGAATAAAGTTCTTTTTTTTGTGTGTGTGTATTTTCAAAACATGCTCTTCTCTATTAATAAAAAATAATCACAAAAGAAAAAATCAAAATTGGAAATGATATTTGCCGATATGATGAACTTCTACCAAAAAGAATTTCATCAGATTTAAGATAAAAATCATTATTACATTGTTCACTGTTGCAACGTTTAAGAGTTATTATATCAATAGATGACGGTGATGATAATGTACCAATTTTTGATTCAAGTAATAAATTTCCTTCAATTAACATATCTTCATAAGGTGAACAATCACGTATAGCTCTTGTTAATATATTTGAAGAAGTTTCACGTTGATATATAGATAATGAACGATTATATATAACAGCAAAATAACAATATGTTTGACATGTTTTTACAGGTATTTCTTTTGTAAATTCTCCACAACCAGGTCCATCAATAAAATTGTCACATGTTAAACATTGAAAATCATATGTATTAATAAATGATGAATAATCAATTAATATAATGAGAAGAATAATAAACAAATTTAATAATGAAAATTCCATTCCATTGATGTTTCTAAAATAAATCTTATTAAATTTTAAATGCATTTTATTCTTGAAACATGTCAATTTCTGTCTTCCTTCTTTTTTTTTTACTTGTTGCACGACTAATTCAAATGCAACATAGTGCTTGTCTTATTGCATTATTACTTACGCTATTATAAACACATGTACACTTGTTATTTCTCTACTTGGTCTCTGCAGTAGATTTATGATAAATTCTTGTTTTTGTTCATGTTATTCATATCATGCTCGATTGATTTCTATAAAGAGATATTAAATAGATACAAAATGTGTTTATATATATAATGATAAAAAAACAAGATACTTCCACAAATATATATTAAAGAAAAAGAGAGAAAAAAAATGCTTGTATTCTCAGAACTTCTAGTAATGATCGATCTAATTCCATATGTCTTATCATCAATCAAAGTCGAGTTATCTTTGTCTTAATATGGTTGAGAGAATAAGAGTGGGAAACAAAACAACAGAAAAAAAAATCGCATCACGTCTAGAAATCAATTATCATGTGAAAGACTAAGCGTGAGAGAATGAAGTCTGGCACTTAATGGTATTTCGTAAGGCTAAAAACAAGAGAAAAGAAAAATTAGAATCAATATATCTGATTTGCATCGATGTATAATATATCATTAACGAAAGTTGAATGCTTTTAGTGACCGTTCCCATATAAATAAACAATAGATAAAAAAAATAAAAATAAAACGCAAGAAATTGTCTATATAAGTTATGATCTGATTAGAAAAGGTGTTTTTTTTTTTTTTATATAAAGGCAATGAAATATAAAGTAATAATAAAGAAAAAAAGAAAACCTATCAAAGAAGCAGAGTAATTCAGTTGTTCTCATCAAAAACACAATTACATTGTTATTACTCTCGTTCTCATTCCTTTCTTTTTTGTTCTTCTCTTATTGCAAAAGCATAGACACATCGATTGACCTGAATAAAAGAAGAAAAAAAAAAAGACTAGTAATTTTTTTCTCTACCACAGGAGTTTAAATAAATACGGAAGGATACAACTTGGATATTTTTCTTTACTTTACTTGTCATCTATTCTTAAGCTTTTTTTTTGATTTTTCATACAGATGAATATTTATTACTAATCAAGTCTGCAAGTCAAAATAGTTAGACGAAAGCAATCGACAAGGAAATAGAATTTCCATTATATATATATTAGCCTCGAGATGAAAATAAAACCTAACTACTAATAAATAGTACTCATAATTCAAATCAAGAATTGAGAAAAAAAAAATGGAGATATATGATTATGATTCATACCAAATATTTATTAATCTTCTTCAGTAAAGGTTGGTAGTATGTGAAGAAAGGTAAATTTTTTCTTTTTTTCTATATGTGATAACCAAATCACGTAGATACACTTGACTTTCGACTGGTTTATGTAGTTATTCGATCACTTGATAAAAACATACTAGTGATTCATTTTTTTTTCTGTGTTTCTCTATTCTGTCATCATCGTAATATTCTTATTTCAGCTTGACTTTTTTTTTTCTGTTCAAATAAATCGTTCACTCACATATTCTAGTCGTGATTGATGATGTTTAGTTGATGTCAACAAAAGAAAATACCAATATATAATGGCATTATCGTTAACAGTTGTGTATCATTCGAGACATAACCTTAAAACGAGGCCGACACTGTTAATGCTATTGTGATTAGCTTTTTCTTCTTCTTCTTCTTTTTTTCTTCTATTTTGCTTTATTCTGTAAGTTTAGAACAAACTATGTTGTCTGTTGTTTAAAGAACAAAAAGAAAAAAAACGATGGATGACATGGTCAGTTGACTGAAGAAACGGACAAAAAAAAAAGAATGACCACTTCATTTTCTCGTTGACATTATGAAAGAATCCGATGCAAAAAACAAGAAAAAAAAAAGAAATGATGACAATACCTATTGTTGTATTGTTGAAATATATTTATTAAAAGATTAAATAATATAAATCAATCGATGACAATATTTGGTATACAAAGTAATTTTCTAACTTAGTTGGTTGCATATGTAATTAATAAATAATGATTAGAAAATTAGAAAAACGTAAACGATTGCATGAGATAGTCATTCATATTTCGACAGATGCATATATTTACGAGAGTTTCCGAGTATTTTTTTTTTTCTCAATTATTACTTGAATTGCAAACGAAGAAATCTCAAGTGATACTCTATTAGAGAGAGTCTTCTTCAGACTTGACAGTAAAATAAATACAAAAAAAAAAAAGAAAAACTCTATATATAACAGACAAACGATACCTGTCAACAACATCGTCTAATGAAGAAAAAAAATAATAAACGAAGACTAAAAGAAAAAATTTTCTTTTCTTGCGTGTTTCTCAATCCAATTATGGATAGTCAGTCTTAGTGTTCTTTTCGCTCCATCTTCGCCAAAGAGAAATATTTGTGTGACAAACAACTGCAAGTATCTTGCTTACGCCTCTATAAGATCGATTAAATGTAACAGAACACGCACTATAGGCATGAAATCTCTCCGGAACTTGCTCTATCTCATTCATTGAACTAATGTAGTTGATTCAAGCCGAATTAAATGAGAGAGAGAGAGAGAGGAAAAGAAACGATGCTTGTATCTTTCTATCTATTATGCCATTAATCGCATTCGAATAACGATGTCTATGTGTATGATGTGAATGAGATTCTTTGCCTTGACAAGAAGCAGTCACGCGGTCAGTAACAGCTAACGAGACTGCAATTAAATACGCATGCTCTAATTTCCGCCAGAAAAGTTCGCACATAACGCACGTATCTGGTCTTCATATAGAATACAAAAAAAGAAGAAGATGGAGAAAAAAAATTTTGAATTAGATCGTACTTCCGCATAACACGACGTATCAAATTTTTTTTTTTTTTATTCTTGTTCTAGAATGAAGAGAACAAGAGTATTACAATCACACTTCAATATTATGTGTGAAATAGAAAATACTCAATGAATTGATGTGTTAAGCAATAGGTTAACACCTTCATTGTTCTCACACTCACTTTCTATTTTAATATATATGTTACTATCATTATACTAAATGATTTTATTTTTAAATCCTCTTCATAGTATTATATATACAATGAAGATTTATGAGTAGTATTTTTTTTCATGTTAGAATTCAAAAGGGCAATGTCATTATATGATTAAAATTCCTAACGAAATATACATTTTTTTTTCTACTAGTAACATATGTTTAACGAGGTAGTCATTTTCCGTCACATTTAATTGTGATCAATATTAATTCATGCATGTTTTGTCTGACAAAAAAAAAAAAATTCTACTTATACATTTGACTAACACCTGTGTATTGTGATATCGTTAAATGGATATTTATCATTGATGTGATGGACAACATTTATATTTTATCTATATCTATTCTAGTCAAGTATGCGTCCATAAATATCTATATGTATATCTCTGCATGATTGCTTCCAGTAATTTACAACATTTATCCAAGAGAAAAAGGCTATGCCGATATGCATATGCATTGTTTGTTGATACACATGTAAAGAACGATAGAAAGATATGCACGAGATGAGAGATATTGTTTTTGTTATAAATAATCAAGCCAATAGCTTATCTACTTGTTTCGATAATAAAATGACAGTCAATATAGAGGTTTTTTTCCGCCACCTACTACTTACCCTCGTTTTCCTGTCGTCTTCTTCTTCTTTTTTTTTATTCTTGTTATTGTCACAAACAAATGATGATGACGATTTATTGAGAACGCTTGGGTACTCAAGTATACGATGTAGTCAGACAGCAATAAAGTGACTTCTTCTTTACGTTCGCTCTTCAATAGATATTTAACATCTATTCTTTGCTAGTTTTTTTTTATTACATCTCGTTCTTCGTTCTTTATATTTCTATATGTTTCATTAAAAAGAGAACATATAAAATAACGAGAAGAGAAGAGGATACCTTGAAAAATGAATGAATAGGGCTGTGTATTTCAAGCTTGTCTCAATCAATCAGAGCCGTTCGTGTATTCATACTATAAAGGTATGAACATGAATAGCCATCGAGTTTTGTCAACATCAGACGTGTGTGTGTATGTGTCATTAAATGTTTGTATCGTTTATTTATGTCTGCCGGTCACTGTGAACGAGCGAAAAAGAACAATTAATTGGTCTCTAGTATGCGAGAAAGAAAAAAAAAAGAGACCCTAGAATGTTAAACAAATAAAGAGACTGTCAACGTTCGATGATAATCACAATGAACAACGACGAATTACTGATTAACTCAATGAATATGGAACAAAAGAAGACATTCCAAAGGGACCCTAGCTCAATAAGAAATCCTAATCAATGCAAATGAATGCATCGTCAATAGAATGGGATTAGAGCCAAAAAAAAAGAAAATATATTATCATTATAAAATGCTAGTGAATGTCTTTAAATCAGATATAATCGATTCATCGCAAGACTTCTTCAGTTTTTTTTTCTTCAAAATTGACATATCTTTTCTGCATGAATAAACTTATTTAGTATTACACGAAGAGTGTTTTTGTTAGTTTCAAGGTTATTTTTATGTAATATCATAGTTTTGATGTATTTCTAATAATAGTTTCATTTCAAAAGAAATACTTATTGTATAATAAAAAAAAAGAAAAAAAAAGAGATATTTGATACAATGAATGATATTTCTATTGGTTATATGATATTGCTATTGAATATTCTACTTACTAAGTATACGTATTCATAAAAAAAGGATTTATTATTGATTGCATTTTCAAGTTTTTGTGTTTTTTCTTTCAATCAATAGAATTCAATAGACTATTGTTTGATAATTCAAGCATGAAACTAATAAAAAATAATTGAATAGAATATGATTTCATTGATATATTTCTTATTCGATTCATTAAAAATTTGCATCTTTCATTTAAACGGAATAGCATATAATTATTTGTTTAAATTCAAAGAAATGAATAGATTCATTTTCAAACTTTGTTCTTTTATCAAGCATTTTGTATTGATCTTTGCGAATGATTTTATCAATTTTTCTCTTAGTTATTTAAATCAATGATTAAAATAGTTCTTTTTTTTAGAGTTATGCCAATAACAGCACATCCAGCATTTAATAAAGTATATTAATTTATATTTATGATTGTTAATTTTATACAAAAAAATAAAATCGATTTTAGGCTTGTTGTTATTTTAAAATAAAATTAAAACGTATTCCATTAAATCCACAAACACATAAAGTTGATCTTTATAAAATGCGTCAAGCCATAACTAAAAATACATGCATGGTATAGAAAACAAAAATTCTATCAATTTAAAATGAATCATTCTGAATTTTTAGCTTGTTGGTTCCGCACCGAATTTTCCACATGGTGTTATTGATCCAATTGAAGATATTTCAAAAGTTTTTATGTTCATTTTTTTTTTGTGCTTGTTTTACAATGAATTTATTTTTGTTATATTTAGATTGCTATGGAATATAATATTCCATTACATGTTGATGCTTGTTTAGGTGGTTTTCTTATTGCTTTTATGGATCAAGCTGGTTTTCCATTAAAATTATTTGATTTTCGTTTATCAGGTGTAATGAGTATTAGTTGTGATACACATAAAGTAAATCTTCATTTATTTTTTCATTTATTGAACAATAAAAGAAATTATTTTTAGTATGGTTTTACACCAAAAGGTACTTCGGTGATTCTATATCGAAATGCAGAACTTCGTCAACACCAATTTTTTGCTCTTGCTGATTGGCCAGGTGGTATTTATGGTTCACCAACAGTTGCTGGTAGTCGTTCGGGTTATTTAATTGCTTGTTGTTGGGCTACACTTATGTATTATGGTCTTGATGGATATGTTGAAGAAACACGAAAAATTATACAAACAGCACGAAATATAGCTGATGGATGGAGTAAAATTGATGGTCTTTATCTTTTACATCAACCAGATGTAAGTGTTGTGGCAATTAGTTCAAATAAATTTAATATTTATTATTTATTTGATGGTCTACATGAAAAAGGATGGCATTTAATTGGTTTACAAAATCCACCAGGGTATTTAAAAATAAAATTGAAAACGATTTTTTTATTCTTTTTTTTTTGAATACTTCTTATTAATTTAAGTATTCATATTGCTGTTACACAAGTTCATACTCAACCGGGTATTGTTGAAAAACTTCTTGAAGATACACAACAATGTGTTGATGAAATTTTAAAATCCAATAATAAAACAGATACAGTAACAGTAAGTATTGAACTAGAATATAGATATTCTACAGGTTAGGGCGCGAAGGCAGTTTACCCTGTACATTTCTAATTTCTATCTCTAGATAGTTTGATTTGATATGATCAGTATCCGAAAAAAAATACCCACATAGGTTTTATCTAATAAAAGCAGAAAGGTACATACGCTTGTCCGGTAATTGATCAATCTGAAATCTGTACCACTACCAGTTCCATCTCTGTTGTAATGTTCTCTTGTCACAATAAAAACACAAATGGCTCAAGTATTCGATCTTAAAGAATAGTTTATGTTTTATTTTAGGCTGTGATCTATGGTACAAATCAAAAAATACCTGATAAATCTCTCATCTGTGATATGACTAAATTATACATAAGTTCATGGTATGAAACAAATTTAAATACAGTAATAGATGGTTAAATAACAAGTCTCAACAATAAGAAATTGTTTTAAAACATTCGACGTAGTGAACAAACAGTTTTTTTTCATGTAACAGTGTTCCTTTCTTTAAAAAAAATTTGTTGTTTTTCTGCCACAGTATATCTGTGATAAATAGTATCAATTGGTTGAAATAATTAATGATTATTAATTGTTTCTTATTATAGATAATCATATAATACAGAGATGGTTGTTTGTATCAACTATGATCAATTTATTTTTACTCTGTTCGAAGTTTTAGTCGATAATCATGAAACACAAAAGACAAGTTTCGATTTTGACCAAACAGAAATTAACATCTTTTACTTTTTTGACTTATTCTAATTGATTTTGAGATTTATCATTCTTTTTAGAGAAGACCTAAGAATAATTTCGAACAGGGCATTCAAAAATAATCATAACTGACATGAAGAGTATTGAGAATTAGCACACTTTTAACGATTCTTCAATAACGAAACTTGATCACGAGCAAACAATAATTTTAAGTTTTTTATACAAGACATACATATTATTTCATAGTGTATTATTCAACGACACACATACTATAAATAAATTGTGGTAAATAGAGTTTAGTTACAAAATCGAAAACTAATGATCCTCATGAATTTAGATCTGAAACACAGTGCGTACAATTACAATTTATTATTTAAAATCATAAATAATAAAATTCAACAATCATGTTCATTATTATCAATGAATTCAATTTTATATTGTAATATACTTCTGATATGTCGATACTATGAATAAATCAATTTATTCAAGCTATATGTCAGATGATAAAAAAAACTGATTCTTTTTTAAATTACAATATATAAATAATTATTTTGAATATTAACGAGTGGGCCATAATAAATGTTCCACTTTTGCATTTCATTTTTTCACAATTTAATACGTTGTATTAAAAAAAAACAAAATATATCGTAAGATGCAGTGTGAAAAGCTCTACAATTTACATAAGATCACTTTTTTATAGTTGCGCTTTTTACTTTAAAAGTGGTCAAAATTTTAAAACGATCAAATTTCGACTATGCAAAAATTGATCGCAGAGAATTTTGATTTTTTTTTGCGAAACGATTACCATAAGCTGTCTCGTGTAAAATGTAGAGATTTTTTCGCTGCATCTAGTAATATATTTTGTTTTTATTTTTCTAAATAAAAGATATCAGGTGACAAAAAGATGAAATAAGAAAAAACGAATTCATATTTTACTCAAAAAAAAAATATCGTTTTCGCACGATCAAAATTTAATCGCTCCAAATTTAGTTGTGAAAAAATGAAATGTAAAAGTGGGATATTTATTATGGCCCAACCGATATTTAAAAAATACGATAAAATTAATAATAGATTTAAGAATCAAGTGTTGAAACAGGTGTCCGTAGAATAAAATCAAACAATGAACATCGTCTATGTCCATTACAATATAGATCAAGATAACGATATAAATCTCGTACTTTAGCACGTTGGCCTATCAAATAATCATATACTTTGTAGAAGGATTCGATTACATTCTTATCACCATAAGCTGCATATATCAATGGACGTACAGCTTCAGAAGCAGCTATTAATTGAATAATTGCTTAAAATATATAGATAGGAAATAAAAAGGTGAAGGAAAAAGATAATAAGATTATACCTTTTAGTTGTTTATCACCATTGAATACACCACAACCCCAATTTCCAGTTGCAATAGGAAATGCATGATCCGATGTTTGTCCTTGAGTATGAAAACCAGCAAAAGCTTTGATTAAGTCACGTTTTACATATTTCATATTGTATTGTGCTGATCTATCACGAAAATAGACAGCATCAATAGCTACTAGATGAGACCATTTTCTTCCCCAATTATCTCTAAATGTGTGAATCATTAAAAAAATATTTATTTACAATAAAAAAAAAAACCTATGTTTTAGGAAAATTTTCGTAGCTATATTCTTTTAACTTTTATATTCCTTGTGTGCAGATACTATACTTAATGTTCTAAAGAAAAACTCTAAAAAAGATTCGATAAAACTATTGAGTTTTTAATTTATTTAGAGATTTGAGAAGCCTTACATTGTTAACGAATTGCATTTTCGATATATGAACTTTTATAACGATATTTCACAATAGAGAAACGATTGAACCCTGTAATCTGGGTAGGATGTATGTGTAGGCTTGCACTTATCGAATTCTTCAGAAACCTTACGTTGATGAGAAATAGATGAATTAAAAATCCAACAGCTTTGATATATCTCAATAAGAATGCAATTTGTATTATGGTTTTTACTAAGATAATATGTACTAATTATAGACAACTAGGAAAATTCACATAAATAATCATACGTGTCTTACTTAGGTTTGTTATCGATATAATCACCATCATATTGAAATGTTTTTGAATAACCTTTATACGATGAATATCGTTCACAACCAATTAGATAGATACATTCATTCGGTTCTAATGCTTCACAGACAAGTAAACTAAGAAGCATTTCAGGACAAGTAATAAATCTTATCTCTTCTTGAATACAGCCCGAAGTTAATACACCACCACCCTATTCAATAATATATTTTCATTACAAAATCTTATGATTAAATTTTATTACTTACAATATATCTATTAGCAAAATCAATCTAAATAAAAGGACTATATAATAAACTATGGAAAAAGAAAGTTGATGTATTTACTTGTAAAACACAATCAATATCTTCTATCTTTTGAGCTGTTGTTAAATGCATAGGAATGAGACCTTTTGTTGATTTAGACCATTTTGGTACATATGTATCAGATAATTCATATCGTCGAAAAGTAATTACACCATTAGGCACTAAATAAAAAAAATTTATTTAAGAAAAAACACATCCTTAAAGATCTACTTTGTCTCGTAATACGTTCAAAATAATGTAAAATACATTTCAATTTTTCAATTTTTTCTATAGGTCCACGTTGATATAATCTTGAAAATTGAATTTATCAGAAATCATCAAAAAAAAAAAAGAAAACCATAGTTACGTATTAAAATTTGGATTTTGAAAACTTTCATATTCTTTCTTTACTTTTGGACTAGAACGATATGGAAATAAACAAAAAAATGCACATGCTAACAATGAAGCAGCTTGTCGTTGTGACATTGTTACGGCACGTTTTGATTTAATACGTAATAAAGGTGGTGGCTATTTCAAGAATATTTAAGTGAAAATTTTGAGAATAAAACAAAAATAAATAACAATACTCGACTACATATAAGATCGACATTCAATACAAGTGAACAAAGATTTGAAAGAACAATAGACATGAAATATAAACGTTGTTCATTTGAATAAATCTTTAAAAAATATTATTAGTAAACTTTTTTTTTTTTGATAATTTTACAAACTTACTTCATTAATGAGATGTTCGAGACAATCCATATTATAATGACGTTCAGCACAATTTTCAATTGTTCTCTATTATGATTAATACAAACAGATTTTATTTCGATTTTTTTCCCGTAATGGTAACTTGTATTAAGAATTTAACTTATGTCTTTTATAGAAAATATTGTTTTCAACAAGGCTATAGAGAAAATGATTTTCTATAAAATGCTATGTCTTCAAACTCTTAACAACATTTGACGATTAACTTATATAAATTTTAAGAAAAAGCTCATGTTTGACTAGTTATTCATTAGTAAATGCAGAAACAATCATTTTTGGACAATTCTTAATATTGGTTTTGTTCCTTCGAAAGATCTCAAAGACGTATCATTCTGTAGAGAATTACTTGCTTTATCTTTCCATGTAATCAAAATAATCTTTTATTTTCAGATCCCGGATACTGGTAAATCCGGTTCTTGAACTTTCTATGAATTTCGGTTTTAGGGAGTACTATAAAAGTTTTTATTTTTCTCTGATTTCCTTACTGAAAATCATATTCTCTATTCAAACTAATATTTGGATTTTATATGTAAGTTACGATTAACGTAAAAAAATTGAAACTAAATCTGTATGTTCAATATTTGAAACCATGATATTAAAATAAAGATAGAAAAATTTAAAAAATAATTACTTTTAAATCTTCTACAGTTGCTGTATGATTATCACATTTTCGTTTAAGATAACATAATAATTGACAAATGATAGGCCATCGTAAATGTCCATCTTTCTTTTATAAAGAAAAGAATCTTATAATATAAATAATGAGTTTTTTTTCTAAAACTCACTGTAGTATAAGATATTGAACATGGCATACGAACATGATGTTCATTCCATGCATCAATATAACGATTATCCTCATTGATTGGTACAGGTTCACGATTAGGATTAGATGCATTATATTTAAATGGCTAGTTAATAGTTAAAAATTTTTGTTACATTTCGTTTTATAGCAATTATTTTTACTTTGATCATAAATATCCAATTATTAGATGGATTATCTGACATATCTTTAATATAAGGAGGTTGAGGGCATATATTGAGAAGAACTTCTAATGGAGGGCCCTAGAATAAAATATTTGACAAGAAAAAAAATACTTTGAAAGTTTACCTTGATTGTTCTATGACCAACTCCATTTCTTCTACAATCTTCATCATAAATGTCAAGACCTAAATAATCGATCTTATAAAATCGGTATAAAAATTTTTAATATAAAATAGTCATTAGCAATTTCAATATGAAACACGAGATGATCTATCAATTTCGACTATCCTGGTCTTTGACATTTTCATGGTAATATCTGATATGATCCGGTGAGTGCAAATTTCTACCCTATATACTTCAACATTTCTTTTAGATCATATTTCATAAAAAATGGGAATAATGTAAATATTAAAGACATTATAACATCTCAAAAATTTACTTTTGTTTTGATTTCGATATAGTTATTCAAACTCAACTTACTGCCATCCATGCTTTCGTCGTTAGATTCATGTTTGTTATTTCTTGATAATGATCGTCTAGCCATATTGTAATAATACTTTATTTTGGTTTTTAGATATAAACTTAAACAATGTTTATGATTAGACTAGATCCTATCAATTGTTTGACAATACACATAAATGTAATAATTGTATTGTTTACTTGAAGGAATTCAAAAAAAAAATGAAAAGAACACGTTGATATTTAAACTGACGTAAAGCAAAAGTGTTTCTTCCGTGCTCTAAGTCAACAACTCTTTCTTTTTCTTCTTACATCGATGGATTCGTTTTTTTTTGCATATCTTTGACTCGTGAAGTTATATTTGTGGTAGGAAGAAAAAAAAGCCTCGAAATTCATATCACACGGACAGGTGAAGAGGAGACAATATGTAAATTTTTTTTTCCATAAAAAAATTAATGACTCCTGACGATGAAATATACAGATTTATGAATATGTATATATTAAGAGAGAAGGAAGTTGTTGAAAATTGTAATTGAAGAAATAGTATAAAAAAATTCAAGGATTTATCATTGAAACAGAATTATTGTATTCCAATTATTTTCATAATTTTTGATTAAAAAAATTTTGAGTACACTTGATATATTTTTTATGAAAAATATACTAATTGAAAATTCAATTTTTTGAGAAATTAACTAATTAATGAGAGTCTTCTATTGTGTTAAGTCTACTAGAAAAGCTATAAAACTCAAAAAACACTGATCACTTGAGAGATGCCTCTTCTTTTCTTTGAACTAGTATCTAGTCGATTTTGGTTAGCCAACAACAGTTTAAGCCAAAAGTTAAATCATTTTCGAAATCAGCATTAAAAAAACTGAAACGATAGATATATACTTGAAATGTGGCAGAGATTTTTATTTTATTCCTCGAAAATTGCATCCATTCTCTCCCGTCACGAGTATGTCGAAATATGATGTCTGTCAAGATGATGTTTTTGTCCTTGATTCATGTACCGTTTCGCTTATAATAGTATTTTAGAAGGTGTCCTTCTTCGATCTAAAGAACATATGACGCTTTTTGGCAGACATCATTTTTCGACTTCAATTTGTATTTCTTATAAGTTGAATTTGTTTGTTTTATTCTATGTGATTGATCTTAATTGAATAAAATTATTTATCATATTAAGTTCATCTATTGGAAATAAAATACTGAATTCGAACAAAAATATTATTTATTTGATCAGTTTTTCAATGAATTTGATTAAAATAAACTATGAAAGAGAGCCATGTTACTAATGTTAAAGACAGTCTCGACAAAAGTCGTTAAACAAGTAAGACAAATGTCGTGAAACGTTTTGAGACGATTTTTGCCCAATTAGAAAGCTAAGTTGGTTTCATATGAAACTTTGAGCAATTGTAGATCCCAGATTTACTAGTCATTCATTCAGATGAGCTTCAGCTTGACTAGCCAAACATTTGTTTTTCTTTCGGACTCAGTTAGGTATGCGCTCTTTTAACTTTTAACATAAAGGATATTTCACCTTAAAAAGAATATTGACATAGTGTACGCTAGCCAGTTTATATACTATTCGATTGAAAGAATTTAATTCTGAACAAAAGTGTACAAATGGTTTACAGTAAATATCGAAAAATGATAAGAAAGAGTTTCGAAGAACGTTAGCCATGCATGGCCATTCAGTCTGAAATACTGTCGAGACTTAAATACAATTGAAACTCGCTGCTGTAATTAGAAGACATCAGTTTATTCCGTTTTTTTGGCATTCATTTGAAGAATATGTGCAAAGTCAAAGATATTCTAATGTATTAACACTGTTTTTCAGTGAATTCTTCATTGCATAAATTTAATCACTGCGTAAAATATCAAATACAAACAATAATCAAAACTGGTGAAAATATATGTGTTTTAATGTTGACTTTGAGAAAAAGTAGTCTAATAAATTGACAAAAAGTGCAAAGCGAAAAAATTCGCCCATTTTGAAAAAGATGTTCCAATTCAACGATTTCGACGTCAAGATCCACGAATTTCTAGCGATAACCTGCAGAAAAGAGACCGTTTCCGATCGGGAAACTGTAGAAAATGCTAGAACTTTGAAAGTAAGAAACCAGTGATCTTAGCCAGTTACGACCGACATCGTTCGTACCTAATTCATCTGAGGCGTTTTTCATGAAAAGCGACATCTTTCAAGTCCTTGTTTTTCTTCGGTTTGAAAGGAATTTTCAATAAATTGAAGTTTGAATAGTTGCACCTTACGTACGCACACACTAGTAGTTTCGTGTTGACCTTTATTTAAATACAAGAGAGAAGAAAAAAGTATAGGCTAATGCAAACTCATGATCATGAATCAATAAAAAGTGAATAGTAGTTATAAGAATTTCAAAAAAAAAAGAATAAAAAAGCATACTATGTGATACTGATATTACAGACAAGTGCAGAGAGTCATCAAAGAAAAAAAAATGTCATTATGAATGTAACTGTTGTTTCTATGTTTGATTTATCCAGAACTTGAATATGTACCATTATTTGTATCAAATGTCAGTATTAATGTTGGAGTATTTGTTGTTGATGTACCATATGGAACAGTTGCCAAATTGACAGAATATGTTATACTTGGCCCATTTCCAGAACCTTTATTAGAAAGAAAAAGAAATCAAACGATAATGCATAAAAATCATGTCAAAATACAATTACTCTGAACACCAATTGTAGCTGAAGCACCTCCATCAGACGCTTGATAATACAAATAGCTAACAATATAGGGTGAAGCTTCGTAGAATACAATTTGAAAGTGAAAATATCGGGTTGACGAGCTAAAATGAGCTGTGTAAAACTCGAAGACTAAACTTCGATTAGGATATGTGCCTGTTGCAGCATAGTAGACGGTTTGAGATGTGCCTGCATATATATAAAGATCATCCCAAAGACCAAAAACTGTTGGTCCGCTGAAACTACTACTTGGTAAAGCTGTGTTTGAGTATGCAGAAGAACAACCTCCAAGACAGACACACTAGAAATATATCATTCAATTAATGACTGTAGATTACGATAATTCAATCGATTTTCATATACTCTGTCTCGTTCGCTACACTCTATATTAATCACAACAATTATTTTAATAAAATATTCATAACTTCATATGAGAGAGTTATTATCGAACTTTTATACTAATCAATTGATTTAAGTTCGTCAAACAGTTTGAATAGACTCCGGAAAAGATATATGTCGCACATGAGTAATTGATCCGTTTATTATGAGATCTATTGATTGTGGGGACCAATGCTATATGTCATAGTCAGATGCTTTTGTTAATTATCAGATCATTTATGTCTGAGACATTGTTTGTGATTATTTTCTTAGTAATTAAGTACTAGTCTTATCATTATCAGTAAACTCATAAAGGTTAATTTTACTCATAGATAACGGTAACTGATCTGATCTAGTCAAAGATTTTCAAATAGGTGGATCTATCTCTACTAATGCTTTATTTCTTATTAAAAAGACATTTCTTTCATTTAGAAAGATATTCATTCAAGTTCAGTTCATTATCAATCTATGCGGAATATATAGATCTGATAATTGTTACTCAATCGAAAAGTAACAAATGTCAAAATGTATTAAAGTAAAAGTTCGAATCTACATTTTCTCTAGAAAACATCAGATAACTTATCTCTAAACGAAATTTCTACAATAGAACAGATTTAATTATGTAGAAAATATGCAAAGCAACATTACGCACTAAAATAAAATTTGTCACTAGTGTCTATGTTGCACATTGAATGTGATTCGAAGTAGGATGTGTCCTTATCTATTTTTCCAAGCATTCACTTATTTTTTTTTGTTTTGTACATGTAGTCTAGAGAAAAATTTCTGAACACGTTTTTCAAATTGAACTCTTATTTTCTAAATAAAAATTACAGTCTGAATCAAAATGATAATATTTCTCGATAATTCTAAATTATTATTTGTCTACAAATTGAAATACTTTAAAAAGATCAATCATAAGAGTACTTACGCCATTACTTTGAACCGATGCACTCGGCGTAGAATATCCATACAATGATATGCTGAAAGGCAGACTGAGGGTTAAATATGCATCATCAATGGAAGTTGTACCACCCCAACCAGAAACAGCAACAGCACCTGTAAGTTGTACAGCAGGAGCACCACTACAAGCGCCATTCGAACAACTTGTATATGTTGAAGCACATACGTAACCAATTGAACCACAATTATTGAAATCGATCAAAAGATTGACACATGAGCCCGATGGTGTTCGAACATATCCAGTAGGACATGGGGCTGTTGCTACAAATTATATGATTTTTTTTTCATTGTATTTTGCATTAAAAAGTCAAATGGTTGAGAAATATATTTACTTGTAATGACTGTCGTACCAGTTGTACCTGTAGTAATTATTGTTGAAGCTACTGTGGCACCGGTAGTTGTGGATTCTTCTATAATAGGGAAAGCAATACATAGAAAGTGTACTATTTGAAAAGATTCACCTAACATGAAGTTATAGAATCGTTTTGGTATAGCAGTTAGGATAATATAAGAATCTCTCGCACCTGAGACAATAGCCTTTCTTATCAGTCTTGATCGATGTATTTTTCCTCGCCTTTATGGTCTTGATTGGGAAACATACTTTATGTAGATATTTCAAGCAAAATTGTATATGAAAATCAGCATAGAAAGAATGTCATGTAGGAAAAAGTAAATTGTAGAAGATTAGTTTGAATGATTTAGAGTAGGAAGAAATATTTTAGAGAAATGCTTTAATAGATGAACTGTATTAAAATGCAGACAATGTTAGAAGTTTAGAAAAAGCATTTTATACTATAATGGATGATGTGAAAAGTAAAACATAGAGATATCAAGGAAAGAGAAATGTGCTGACTGGCATGCTAGTCGAGAGAGAATCGATGAAACCTTGAAGACGTCTTTGATTCCAAGAGGTTTCCTGGTTTTTTTGTTGTTTTCTAGAGAACTTCTTACTTTTTTTTTCAGTGGTAAACGATCAGAAGGCACTGGAAAAAGTCGGAGATATCTCAGTATAGAATACTGTTTCCAAGGTCCATAAATTTCAGAAGTATTCTTGACAGATTCCGTAATTTTCTCAAACCTTGTGGGCCAATTTCAACAAGGTACACATGTTTGCGGAGTCGCAAATCATTAACTCTCAAAGTTGACTATGATTTATCAAAGTTCTTAAGATTTCGACAAGTATTTCCAATAAAATCTGCTGCTTTGTTCTTGTATTTCTAGTCTTACTTAATTCTTTTTCAATTAAAGCACCTTTTTCTTGAACACAACTACCGAAAAATTACTAGATACATAGCTATTATTAGTTTTAGTGTAATGGAATATCATGAATGATATCTGAACATCTCTATCTAAGCAGATCTTTGAGTAATTTTACACATTGTGCAGATATTTCTATTTAGTTTCAAGACGTTGAGAAAACCTTCTACGAGTTCTCATTTGACTTATGTTTGGTTTTAATGAAAGCTAAAATTTTTAGTCATTGTCATAATTATTAACACTGTCAATCATTATCATTTCATTATGCCCCGTAGGCTTATCGCCCGTTGAAGCCAACCACTGTACGGATTAGTTTCTTCCATATCTGTCGATTTTGCGCTATGTGGAACAAACACTATCAATAGAAATAAAGAAACCATTGTCAAGCACTTAACCATGAATTAAGCATTCGAAATGGAACTAATATTATATATTTATATCATTGATTACTTTAGCCGTCAAGACTTGTGTTCTGATGCTTTGAAAAGTGACAACACGTTTCATAATCATATTTATATTTACTAGAATTCTGAAGATGATATGTTGTTGACGTTGTTGAATTTATATTGAGCTTTTTCCAATAAACAAATAAAAACAATAATTTTTTTTCTCTAATTAGTAGATAGAATCTTTTCTTTTTACAAGATACTATTTAATCATGTTTTGTCTCTGACCAATGAAGGTGATGAAGTTTTTGTCTTCAATAACTAAACATCATCATTATCTTTATTTCCAGTGTATAGAGAAATAAGGAAAATGATATGCCAGCTGCTACTAAAAAAATTATCAAACGAATTAAAATAAAATACTGACTCTTTAAATTGAAATAAACAGTTGGAACAGTAACTGCTGTCGCCACAACTACCAACGCTGTCGCGATAAGTATAACTTTGGCATATATTGGTAACGTTACCCCTTGTGGAGCTCTAGCACAAAAAATTTCTTCACATAAGATGAAAGAACAAAAAGAATAAAAAGACATACACAACTGTTGAAGCTGTAGGAATCGATTCTAAATCCAACTTGACATTTCGAGGAGTTGTTGGATTAGTTAAGTTTTGACTCTGATCTAAACAGATCTATAAACGACGGGCTACATTATTATTCAAATTACTTGACGAAGTTAAGTTAGCCTAATAAAAAATATTTTAATTTTGATATTTAAAAATATAATAAGAATTTCAATAAAGAGTACTTGATTATCATTTGGAATGTCTAACAGAGGGATATATCTTGCAACTGAGTCGCCCATTTTGTCTTGCTATTTTTTGTTGTTTATTCGAATCATCTAACAGTAGACTCTTTTACATTGCTTATACAATGTCGTTCGCACTGCAAAAAATATTTTAGCGAGAAGAATCATAATCTCATTTACATCAGAAGACGAATATTTACTTTTACTACAAAATGAAAGAAAAAACAGTCGCACAAGTTGCTTCTTCTCTTGCGATAGTACAAAAAAAATATGACCACTTGAACGAGTGTAATTTCATGTTATGATGCACTGATAATATAGAGAGGATACATCCATTGAAAAAGTACATTCTTTTTCTTGAAGTATAGTTCTCTGAATGAGAGCATGTTCGACTATAAATAATACAGCTTTCAATGGTTGAAAAACATCATTCTATTCTTTTTGCTTTGATGTTGCCAAAGAAACAAATGATAAGGAAACACTCTCCAAATAAAGTTTGTTATAAAGGAAAACGGATAATCGCAATCTAAATAGATCAAGTTTGAGATGTAAGCTGAGCAGGTGCTCCACAGCCAAGTTTTTTTGGAATACTTCTCAGCTTTACTGTCAGTGGCTACAACAACTGTTTAAATTCTCAATTGTCAAAGCCAATGCTCAGCTAGTCCAACCCTACCGGCTACGAAAACCAAAAAATAGATCGAAGGTATTCAGTTGCTGTGAAGGGTGTGGGTGGGTGTGGGTGTGGGTGAGTGTGGGTGTGGGTGTGGATGCGGGTACCGGTCTTCTCTTTACCCACACCCACACCCATACTCACACCCTTACTAACTGACTTCTCTTTATCATCTACAATCTTTCATTATCGTTATCTTTATCTTTATTCTTCTTTTTAATTTAAGATATCCCTGGTTCACATATGTACGATGACGTCAATCCTTACTTTTTGTGAAACACGATCTGAAAGGAGTGTTGAAGTATATAGGGTAGAAATTTGCACCCACTACCACCCCCCCCCCCCCCCCCCCCCTCCCCTCCACAGACATGACAGACATTCTTAGCAACGAGATATCACAGACGTGACAGACACGTAAAAAACGGCTTGTCACAGACGTGACAGACAGCCTTATACAAGCCACAGACTGTGATAGAAGACTTTAAGCAACTATCAGATAATGTATAACTAACATATGATTAGAGCATATATGGAATATTATCCTGTTTGAATTATATAATGTAAAGTAATCCATGGTGAAGAAATATACCCCAACGTATATTGAAAAGAACAGTTTTTAAAAGATTTGAAACAGCAGTTACATCGTGTTTTACATTTTTAATCCCGCATGAGATTGCGCTAAGTTTTTTTTTCCTAGTTCTCCTTATTTTCATCGTCTTATATCTGATTGTTAGGGTGTAGATTGAAAAAAAAAGGATCATAAATATTGATTTTTGTTATTGAAACTGATCATAGACATTCAAATGGAACAAATATGATTGTGAATGGCCATTTGATATCATGAGCCAACATCAATATTACATTTGATCTATCTATTATCTATTCACTATTCATCTCTTGTTCACTCATAGTTGCTATCGTTTCTCTTCTTTCTTTCAATAAATCATGATATTATTATCATGAATTGTTCTTTAGAGTTTTCTTCGTTGATGAAGCCACATGGTTTCCATAATGATATAAACATATGCAATTCTCTTGTATGATTAGCTTTCCAGTAAGTTTCGATCCATATGAAACTAGTTACAGGCGACAATACAGCATGCTTTCTTAGATAATGCTGATCATGACACTTGTCTCGTATTGTTTTTTCATATTTTATATTTCAATCATCAAAATGTAATTGACAAGCAAACTACAATTCAAAGAAAAAAGCATCGTCTCTGTGTTATTTGATAACTAATCATTCTATTTTACAATACAAAAATTATAACTATTAATAAAAGATGAAAAAACAAACAAAGTTTATGAAAGAAATTATGTTGAATTTATTGTTGGTACAACATCAAAACTAGAAATAGAATAACCATTTCGAATATTTCTTAAACGAAGTGTTACTATTGATGGAACAGCTGTTACATTTATTTTAAATTGAAATGATGGTGCTGGTTTAAATACTGCCGTATTTCCTGTTGATGGTGTTTGTACTTGAATAAAATTTGCATTATTAATCGCTGCTTCTAATATACCTGAGCTACCACCAACATAAACAGTTATATTAATTGCTATTGGTGATTGATTAACTAGTAATGGATAATAAAATGTTGAATTTGAACCTAAATATCTTAAATATGGATCTGTATACGGTTCACGATGATTCATAAAATTGGTAGCGTTCACATTATAAGATGGTATAGGTATGCCAAATGTTGTTTGTATTGAACTTTGATGAACTTGATCGATAGCTTTTAATTTTGGTGATGGTCGTGGAAGTTGTGCAACAGGTGATGATGAATTAAACATTGTTGTTGTATCGATTAATGTTTCTTGTCTCATATCTTCTAGTAAATTCCATGAACCATACGCTGTTATCGAAGATGCTCCAGTAACCCACCAATTCAATGGTTGAAATCCATATCGATACCAACCATTTAAAAATGATACACACAAATCAGTCATACGATTATCACGTGTAGCATTGATTTTAGCTGATAATGAACAACTTCCACAACCTGCAACTGTATCTGGACCTCCTTCATAACCATGAACAGCTAATCCATACCAAGCAGCATAAACAGCATGTACACCAACTGGTGCTTGTTGACTCCAACCTTGTTCAGGTAAAAATGTTTGCATACTAGAATTAAGTCCTTCAATAACTTGATCTGTTGTTAAATTTGACCATGTTTTATATTGTGCTAAAGTAAAATAAGGAGCAATAGCAATACCATGAAGAAATGTTGATGGTGGACCATAAACTTTATTTAAATAATCTAAACCTTGTGTAAGTATTGTTGGATTTACACATTGACCAGCTAAAATTGGTCGAACTCGTTTCCATGGACCAACATTTTCTTGACCAAATACAGTTTTAAATAGATCAGATATACGTTTGGTTTGTGATGCTGTTCGTCGAAATCCCCAATACCAATAATTAGTACTATTATCATAAGCTAAATGTAATGGATCACCTTGATTCAAAACAGAATCATTTGCAGCTTTAACATTTGCTGTAGATTGTGCAAACATAGAATTCCATAATTCATTTGAAAATTCAATATAAATATTAATTGTTGGATTTAATTGATTTAACATTAATTGTGCTACATTTAGTACATAATCATCCGTTGCACCATATGGGATATTTATCCAAATATCAGTATTCGATTGAAGTTGATTTGCAATCAATGGTATTGTTTCCCATGCATTGGTTTTAGGTGGTGTATATTGTGGCCAATAGAGTGATGTTGTATCGTTCCAATTAACATCTAGATTACTATTTGTGCTAGTCCAATCCATAAAACGTAAGATACTAAAACGTGATAAATGTGCTAACGTTAAATTAGTAATATTTGATTTTGATGCTAAATCATAACCAGGTTGCAATACACTTATATTTTGCAAACCAGGACCACTTGTATTTGTGAAACTAAGCATTATTTGAACTGCACCTTGTGGTATAATTACTAAAGCTGATAGAGTATTTGTCAAAGCATTATACGTTTTATTTGCAATACGTCCTGCCGTTGAACCACCATATACAGTCACTTGTGCATTACCTTGAGCTGTTAATAAATATGTTCCACCCATATCAACAGCAGCTGTAGATAATACTATTCCAAAATCTTGTGTAGGCCATCCAGTTATAGGATCAAATGTTGCAGTTCCATCCCAAGGACTAGATGGACTACCCCATCGACGAGCTTGTCTTACTAGATTAACGTATTGTTGACTACGACTCCAATCATGTACACCGTCTAAATTACCACCAATAGCAACATATGCACTAATATTTGGTATTGAAACCAATATTGAAATAATGATAGACCAATGCATTTGTATAAAATCTAAAATAGAATTGAAAGAAAATCTTTCATGATATTTTTATTCAATTGGTAGACAAGAAATTTGATTGCTCAAGAATACTGAAGAACTAATAGTTTTTCTAATTTTATGAATTAAAATGACATTTTAATTTTTGTCTCAAATGAAATTCAGTAATATTTAGCTGATTTTAAAACTAAATGAACAGCACAAAAAAAAAATGAAAGCCTACGTGTTGCTGATTTATAGAGCTTCATTTGGAGTCACAAATGCAACAAATACATAAATTTTCTCAATCAAAAAAACAACATTCAAATAATTAAGCTTACATGTTGTTATTCGGCTGTAAAATAAATCGTATGCTTTACGTAGAATGAATATGACGTGCACCGATAACAAATATTGTTATGAAATAAAGCGAGTATTTGACCACTAACCTTTATATAATAAAAAAAGTGATTAGCCACTATCCGTCTATCATTAAAGCGTATGCATGTTTTTTCGCTCTTTCTCCTTCATTGATAAATCGACATCGAGGGAAAAAATTTTATTTTTCTGTCACGCATATTATTCTCTGTAAGGTAAATAACATATATATTGTGTTTTACAGGTACAATTTGATATTATCCATTGCATGTAATAAAGTATTATTTTTTTTGTACTTTAACATGAAGGTAATCAATATTTTTTTTCGTAAAATATCGTCTGCTCTTTTTATAAGTACAAAAATTGAGTCATCCATCAAGTTTTACGAAAACAAGTTTACATTAAAATTTTTGTGATATACTTCGTCAACAAAATCATTTTATAAACATTGTTGTTTTGAGAAACGTAAACATTTTGTTTTAAAACAAGTGTTATTAAGATTTTCGAAATTCTTTCATCGACATATTCAAGCAAATGTAGTGAATAAGTGTTTACTTCGGTTTACCTAAGTATAACAACCGTAAACCATGATCAATCCACACAATATTGATAATGAATGAACTTTTATGATGTATATATACAATGGCTCCCAAAATTATCCGACAAGGTTTATTTTCGGTTTTTTTTCCGCTGGCTTGATCTCTAAAAAGAATCCAAATATAGTGATTTGTGTAGGAGAAATTGTTTCCTACAAGGATATGATAAAATCAAAAAAAAATTAATTGATTTCTAAAATCAGAGTTTCCATAAAATCAATAACCTGGTTTTTCAACATCTAGAACTTTCTTAAACGATACAGAAAGATAGGGCAAACAATTCTCTACAAAATGAGACGTTCCCGAACTCTTTCCGACTTTTTTTTTGACAGAAATACACGAATTTTAAGAGAGGCTCTGAAACATTTTTTTTCTATAGGAAATCGAAAGGAACGACTTTTGGAGCTTCTCTAAAATTCATGTATCTCGGTCAAAAAAAGTTGTAAAGAGCTTGGGAACGTCTCATTTCATAGAGAATTGTTTGCTCTATCTTTCTGTGTAGTTTTAAGAAAGTTATATTCGCTGGTTCTAGATGTTGAAAAACCAGGTTTTTGGTTTTATGGAAACCCTGATTTTAGACATCAATTAATTTTTTTTTTAATTTTATCATATTCTTGTAGGAAACAATTTCTCCTACACAAATCACTATATTTGGATTCTTTTTAGCGTTCAAGGCAACGAAAAAAAACCGAAAATAAACCTTGTCGGATAATTTTGGGAGCCACTGTATATAGCAAGCAAGTTCGAAATCTGATTGAAATTGGATTAGAGTTTTTTGTAATTTTTGAGTTAGAAATATCGTTAACATTATAAACATAGAAACATTATTTATATGCTAAATTTTTTTTTCTGTGTTTCTCTACAATGAATATCAATTTTTGATAAAATCGTTTCTGAATAATAGAGACATGCAGACATTAAATAATTGATTAAATTTGATTGAAGAAAGAATATTTTATTGGTTTGTCTGCAGAGACTATGAATATTTATTATTATTTGTTTCTCATAATAAAAACATTGAATGATTTCTGAATTTTTTTCAAGTCAATAATGAAAAAAAATTTCCATTCAGAATTCACAAATAAATAATTAAATATTACAAATCAATGTTTCATATAGATATTTTTTATTTTTACTTTTTTTGAAAACAATACAATTGGATGTATGAAGAGCAGGGATAAAAAAAAAGGAAAGTTTTTCAAAGTAAAGCTGCCTGATACCATGTGTATGTCTTCGTTTTACGATATAAACGCATACTAAATCATTATAAGTAATTATTAATGAAATTGACAGTTAATTTTTTTTCCTCTAATTATTGTAATTGATGGTATTTAATACATAATGGTTCTTATAGAAGAATGTACTATTTAATGAATGTCATTGAATTCTTTCAATTCGAAAACTGAAGTACATAAATATTTTCAAAAATAATGCCGCAAATTATTCTAAATCATGATATTATTTTATATTCTAAGAATACAAAAGTACACATTCAATAGAATTTATCAGAAATATTTAACATAATCTCACAAAATAAAAAGAAATTATATGAGTAAGTTGCTGAAATTTGGAAAATTTCTCAAAGACATTAAAAAAGCCTTTCCTTGATTCTTAATAAAAGTATCATGTATATGCTGAAAACTAGTCAGTTATAATAAAAATAACTACTTTTTATATCATGTGGCTTGAAGTTGAGATAAATATATATTGTTTGTGATTTTTTTTGAAATTATTTTGAACAAATACGACAGAGTCAAAGAAGATTGATAATAGTTCTTTACCAGGGAACATGAAATCTAGCTGTTAACATCCGAAATTTACAGCCACGTAGACTTTTGTGAAGGTTTCGGAAACAACTAAATTTGACTAAAGTAAGTCAGTTCGTTTTAGAAATCTAAGTATATGAAATTGATTAGAATAATTCAGAAATGGATCAAAGATAATGAATACAAGACACAATTCACGTAGTCATCGATTATATTGACTTTAACAACTTGAGTCATGAGGAAGATTTGCACAAAGGCTTCTGAATGCTTTTTGTCGTATAGCCTTGTATTACCAATTCATTGAGATGAACTAGATGAACTAGAATGAGATCTGCATCTGTGTATCACTCATTGTGACAATGAAAGAGTCACGCACCTAGATTATTGATTAAAAGCCGTATATTCGTTCAACTTGAACCTGATGCGCTCGCTATATCTCATTGTATGTATGCTTCTCTACACAATTGTTCAATTTGAGAATAATTCGATGTTGATATAATCCGACAACTATGACCATGAAGATGAAATAGATGTTCACCGTCATCTCTGTTCTACATAAGTATGTCAATGACGGCTCAATATGACATTAAGCAGTACCCATTTCCGTCACTTTGTAAAACTGGTAATGAATTTACACTTTTACTCACTGGAAATAATATGCTAAGTGCCATAGAGTTGGCTACCATCTGATGGAGTAATGATGTTGTTTTGTCATATGTTATGCATTGCTTAGAAACCGATTCACTGCTAACACTATTCAGATTAGAACCAAACATGACATTTTTAAGATATCCAAGAGCGATTTGGCGGGAATCTGGATGGAATGTGATGACAACGTTTAGATAATGCGTTGCACTGAAAACCATAAATCGAAGCGAGTCAAGTTCCTGAGTATCAACAAAAGAAAATATGCATCAGTCGCTATTAATCATAATTTCGTTTTAATGTAGGCATCCACAATATGGCTTTCTTTCTTAACTATCTCTAGAAATATAGCTGTTAGATTTCAAAAGCCTGTTCTCTTACGAGCCAGAAAGATTACTTAGGTTTCTCAATAATCTACTTCTCGAATGCTTGTGAATCTTTAAATGATTGATCACTCAGTTGCTCCCTTTCATGTGCCTTAGTAATAGATTGTCTCGTCGAGTACTCTGGGTCTGAATCTATCAGATTTTGAAAGCGTTGGAGTACATAACAATTATGCATCTAAAGTGAGTAAAATATATAGAAAGAGGAATGATGATAATATGGAATAACCATTAAGAGAGTTTGCGATTTGATTCAAGGAAAAACTTTCAGAATAGAAGCAGACTAAAACCGTACATGAAGCACCGAAAAAAGTACCAAGTTCTATCCTTTCATTTTCTACTGTGCACATCAATCGAAATATAATCTCCATCCGCTGCTGATGTCACGTGAGAAAATTATTATTTGAGGTGTCTGAACAGTCGAGCCCTGCATATTTAGCTCCACGTACTTTCTGGCACTCTTGACTCGTTGTTCGTCTACTGAACCTCGAATTCTCAGTCTTGAAGGTGCTGGATTGATCGGATATGTAGGTAAGGAACTACTTGAATCTAGTAATAAAATACCTAGATATAATGGATTGAAAAGTATCGAATATCGAAGACATGAAGTTGCAAATCGAACAATAAAGCTGCTAATATCAATAGGATAAATGTCAAATTAGCTTTGAATCCAATGTAAATCAATTATGTCGGTGCACATCAGAGAATACATAAGTTTGGCTAAATTGAATTAGATTCACGTAGGAAGAAGATGTGGAATTTACTTAGTCTCTTTTTTTCAAACTCACACTTACACGGAAATGTGCCTTGATGATTGAGTTTGATACATGTCTATTTTCTCAATGATGCAATCAAATTTATCCAAGTGAATGTTTTATGCATCAACTCTGTGCTAGAAGAAATACCAATTTTTCTGCTATTTTAGAATGATATTCTTAATCAGGATCAGGGAAACAAGAACAAACAATATCTATTTCACGAATAATTACTTGACGTAGGTTGCTTAGAAGATGAACTGAAAAATCAATGCAATCGAAAGATCAATTTTTGGCCTTTATTGAGATCAGACGGATCTTCTAAACAAAAAAAAATTCCCTGTAATTTTTATATAAGAAATAAATATCTCGACTTTCATGCTCAAGTTGTGGCATAAGTATTTGACTATATCGATTAATCAATATACTTGTTCCTTCAATTGTGACGAAAATAAATCCATCAATGATAGCTGAACCCAACATAGCATCAAGTTCATCTAA